TCTAAGAAAACAACTCAGACCCCTTGTCAGATTAACTTAGGGTTTCATAAAATGTAAGACTAACATGTCTAGCGGAGCCATCAATCTTTCGTTTGTGCATTGGGAACTATTTAGGGGTATTTTGAGGGGCCTAAAGAAGGGAGGGGTTTACTGTAGAACCCTATGGGATTTTATTTTCAAATGACTATTTATACTCGAAAACAGTAAGTGATAGACACGCGTGGTCTTCAGTAATGAGAACAGGACAATGAAACAAATCAAATAAAATATAGGGTGAGTCCCTGGGGGTCATCCCACCCCCCTTCAATTTGAAAATGTTCTTTTATCTTGTAAACGGTCGCGATCCCCACACCTAAACCATATATATACTTGTATGGGACAATAAAACAAATCAAATGAAAATTTGGGGGAATCCCTGGCGTCACCCCACCCCCTTCTGTTTCAGAACTTGTAAACGGTCGATATCCCCACCCCTAAACCATATATATTCATGTATGGGACAATATAACAAATTAAATGAAATATATGAAGGTGGGGGTCATTTACATTTACTATGGTCAGGGCAGTCAGACCTCACCTTTGATCCCTGTAGTAGTAAACATTTGTCTGATTTGTGTCTCATAACTTTTGTACTGTAGAACCCAAACTCAGTGTTCCTTCCAGGGAAGCAAGTCCATTCATACAATTACGTCAACTTGTACCACTAAAAGTCAACTGGTACCAACGTTAACTACCAACTAGAACACCTGCAATCATTGCGAACTTGTACCACTGCAGACTCACCATTAAAAATATACATTGATATATGCGTTGCTTTAGAAAACCTTGATAAAATATTAATTAATTTGCCTTAATAATCAATTCATTAAATAAACATAAATGTACAATATACGAATGTTTAATGTTTGTTCTTTCAAATCTGAAAAAAAAAATTGAAGCAACACTGCCACAGTTTTCATAATTACGTTTGCCTTGGTTTTTGGTTAACTGCCTGCAGCGCTTACAGTGCTTTGATTTTTAATTTTGCTAATCTTGAAAGTTGTAAAAGATAAAGTGAAGTTAAAAAAGGAATTGATCAGTGGTATATTCAAGATCTTTAAACTTGTCAATTTTGTTGAAATCATTGCTAGACCCTTTATAAGAGATATTGTCTGTAAATGATGATTTTAACAAATTTTGGACCAAAACCTACTTTAGTAGATAAAAACTGTAAATAACAAACATGTCTGCAAATATATCAACATGATTGAAATTGTTGGTCAATTATAGGATATAGGAGTTATTACCCTGTAATGATGATTTTGCCCATTTTTTGCATACTATGCAATAACTGTAATATATATGAAAATGCCGAAAAAGTATACCGGGGGTCCGTCTGTCCGTGTGTCTGTCCATTCTGTCTTGTTAGCGCTCTCACAGGTACAATTCTTGGCTAGATTTTTATAAAACTTATACTATAGGTTAATATCAGCAATATCTCGGACAATTTCTTTAATTGTGGCCGATTGACTTTTTTTAAAATTATGCCCCTTGGAAATATTAAATTTATGGAAAATAGCCTCGTTAGCGCTCTCACAAGTACAATTCTTGCCAGATTTGTATAAAACTTATACTATAGGTTAATATCAGCAATATCTCGGACAAGTTCTTTAATTGTGCCCGATCGATTTTTTTAAAAAGAGTTATGCCCCTTGGAAATATTAAATTTATGGAAAATGGCCTCGTTAGCGCTCTCACAGGTACAATTCTTGCCAGATTTTTATAAAACTTATACTATAGGTTAATATCAGCAATATCTCAGACAAGTTCTATAATGGTGGCTGATCGACTTTTTAAAAAAGAGTTATGCCACTTGGAAATATTAAATATATGGAAAATGGCCTCGTTAGCGCTCTCACAGGTACAATTCTTTTATAAAACTTATACTATAGGTTAATGTCAGCAATATCTCGGACAAGTTCTATAATGGTGGATGATCGACTTTTTTTAAAAGAGTTATGCCCTTGGAAATATAAAATATCTGCAACGTGGGGGACATTGGAACTCTGTTCTTTTATTTATTGATGTCCTGACATATTGTTAAGTAATTTATTTGTAGTGGAACCTTGTTTATCCAAAAAGAGGGAGGGGCGAGGGAAAGGAAAATTTCTGTTTTCTTTGTTCTGTTAAAAAAATTGGACAGGAAAAAATGTGACATGTTGTAAAAAACAAATTATCACTTGTTTAAGAAGCAGGCCCCCTTGCATCTCCACCACTGTCCCATTTTTATACGCCCGTCAAATTTTTGACGGGACGTATTATGTTATACAAATGTCCGGCGTCCGTCCGTCTATCTGTCCGTCTGTCTGTCCGTCTGTCTGTCCGTCTGTCTGTCCGTCTGTCTGTCCGGCGTAAACATGTCGCACCGTAACTTGAGAATGACTTATCCAAATTTCATGAAACTTAACATAGTTGTTTCTTATGATGGTCAAACGATCTGTATACTTTTTGGTGAAAATAAGATTAAAACTTTTTGAGTTACGGGACTTAGTAACTAAAACAGGTGTGTGTTTTTTTTCACATGTCGCGCCGTATCTCAAAAACAATTTAGGATTATTGCTTAAAACTTTACACACTTCTTAGTTATATTAATCTTAAGATCTGTATACTTTTTGGTGATGATTCAAAATTTTATTTTTGAGTTATTGAGTATTTTGTTAAAAAAGGGGGAGGGGTTTTTCACATGTCGCGCTGTATCTCAAAAACAGTTTATGATTATTGCTTAAAACTTTACACACTTCTTAGTTATATTAACCTTAAGATCTGTATACTTTTTGGTGATGATTCAAAATTTTATTTTTGAGATATTGAGTATTTTGTAAAAAAAGGGGGAGGGGTTTTTCACATGTCGTGCCATATCTCAAAAATGATTTATGATTATTGCTTAAAATTTTACACACTTCTTAGTTATATTAATCTAAAGATCCGTATACTTTTTGGTTTTGATTCAAAATTTTTTTTTTGAGATATTGATTTTTTTTTTTTAAAAGGGGTGTTTTCACATGTCGCGCCGTATCTCAAAAACGATTTATGATTATTGCTTAAAATTTTACACAATTCTTAGTTATATTAATCTAAATATCTGTATACTTTTTGGTTTTGATTCAAAATTTTATTTTAGAGATATTGAGTTTTTTGTAAAAAAAAAAAGGGGGTTTTCGCATGTCACGCCATATGTCAGAAACTATTTATGCTTATTGCATAAAAATTCACACACAAGACGACGGGCGTATCATGCGCTCATGGCGCAGCTGTTTATTCAAGGTAATATTCAGAATTTATTTACTATATACTATCATTTTGCATAATGTTTACCAGTATGTGCATGCAAGGATTAAACATGAAAAAGCACAGTTTTATGACATGAAAGACCTCTGATTGATAGAATTTTTACATAAATTATTAGCAGATAGCTCTTATAAAATTGCTATCAGAAAATTAAAAGAAGAAATAATGGGATCTCTAATTTTGTAGTTTTCCTATAAAGATAATAAAAAATCTATTATACATTCTTTTATAACAAATATATTTGTCAGATTTGTCTCCCCTTTAAAACATTTTTGTTTTTGGTTTTAAGAAGTTTTTTAATCAAGAACTTTTCTGGATTTTTTTTAGAGAAAAATACTCCAATAAAATACAGTTACACCTTTATAAATTAATTCATTTTTGTTATAATCTCACTCTCGGAATGAAACCTAGATATATTGCACTTGAATTTATTGTCCTTCTGTCCATTCTTCCAACAAATAGTTTTTGTCACACTTTATCAGAAACTTAGTCTTCATGCTTAACCACAGGCCCAGCAGCCCAGGCTTGTAAAATCGCTTTCAGGCCTGTAAAAATAATCTCTACAGGCCATCAGAATCTTAACTAAAATTTTCCAAAAATTGAGAGCTTGGCCTGTAGATTTAAAAGTTTATCGTGAAGACTGAGAAACAATGAATAGAATGCCTTTATATTTGGTCAGCAGCTTTACAGCATGAGATGTAAGAGCACTTAACAGATCTGTTAGACACCTTCTTCATATTGCCAATACTTTGGATTTTTACCAATGTTCAATGAAAACAAATATTTTCAGCACACTTTTCTCAGGAACTTTTGTACAGAATGACCTAATATTTGGTCAGCAGGCTGACAGTGATGAATTGTAATTTTGGAATCCTTTTTGGATCTGTCAAGCATCTACTTCCTGTTTAACAATTCTTTGGATACTGAGAGGGGGTATGCTTAGCACCACAACACATGCAACTTCTTTTTATAATTCAAGTATTTTTTTAAGTTTGTTAGGAAACTAATGATGTTACGGTAACCAGTCAAGGTTGTTAAACACACCCATCAGTATAAATCAAATACTTTTAAAGTTTTTTTACTGTAAAAATCTTATGGTGATGGGTGAGAATCTAAGCATTTAGTTTACAAAATTTAACCACATAATAGTAGATTGATTGATTGTTGGTTGCTTAACATCCAGTGGCAAATATTTCATGCATGTTCAGGACGAGAACAAATTATTAATAAACACAATAGGTTGGTCCTGTAAAGGAGGCCGTCTGGGATGAAGGTTGGGGAAATTATTAGAAATGAATATTTACAGGTAGAAATGTTGAATGGTCAAAGTTTCAACATTGATAAACATTTGATGCAAAAAGTTTTAGAAAGACTTTTCAAATTTTTTTAAATTGATTAAAAATTATAGCTGAAAAAAATGCTTGTATTTGTTATGTAATTTACTGTGTTCTAATGTGATACACAAAAATAGTAATTTTGATTTAAAGAAACTGATTAGATTTTATAGTGAGAAGTTTTAGATTAATGACATGATGATTGTTATGCAAATAAGCAACTCTCAAAGTCCCTGTGTTGAAATGTTGTCCAATGAAAAGTGATTTGCCCCTGAGGCAATGAAGTGGAACCTTTTCCTTTCTTACCTGACATCATGAAAAGTGTGCATGTGTTTTCAGAGCAAGAAACAGAATGGAAGGTGAAAATGTTTTTGGAAATAAGATAAAGGTTGAAATCTCATCTAGATCTCCACAAAAATCAGATAAACAACAGGGTAAGAGTTTTTATTTTATGATTAAGTTTTTTGCTGACCATTATAATGATAAGAAAGACCTAATAATCAAGTTCACCCTAACTATGCTTGCATGTGCTAACATTTTGGAATGGAATATAGATTTATTGTGCAAAAAATAATTATTTTGGATTTTTGGGAAAATATTTTTTAAGTGCAAATGTTTACATAGAAGGCAACAACTTTTGGCAAGTACTTATAACTAACATCTTATATACATCCTTGCTTTCGATTAGCAACTTTTTTGGACTGTTTATTAGATTGATTCCTTGGAAGATGGTGGTTTCCAGATACCTTCTTATTCTTTTTCTGGAAAAACCTGCCTGTACTGATCAAAACAAATGCACTTTTTAATATTTTCGCTTAATTAAAAAATTGAGATTTTTTGCATTATAAAAATATATCCAATCTGGTCTATTATATCCCAAACAGGTTATTATAATCTTTTATGGTGACTGGTCCCAAAATTATAAAATGTCTGTGAAAAAATATATATAATCAAAAATATTATAAAAGTTGGAATTTCATACACAAACATATTCAAATGTGTTTATTTGTTATGCCTACAAAGTTTTAGACTGCACTTTCTAGTGTTGCATTGTAATTCAGAAACTAAAATAAATAAGAAATGTCAGAGAGATAATTTTTTATAGCTCATTCTTACATGTTAATATATAACTCAATTGAGCTATTTATCTAAGATTAGCTTACTGTACCTGTACAACAAGAGGGAGCATTATATTTTCCAATTTGTGCATCTGTCCATTAGTCAATACATTTGTCTGTCCCATATCAGGATATCATATCTGTATTGGTTCACTAACTCATAATTTGGGTCTTAAAATTTTTTTTGCAGCAATAATGTTTGTGAAAATTTGAAAAAGTCATGTTAAAGATTTTCACCAATAGGGTCATTAGTGATGTATTTCAGACATCATAAATTTTGTTTCAACATGATTTTTGCATAATTTGGCAAACTTTATGACAGTTTTCTGAAAAATTAACAGTAGCATCACACCTTGCCCACTATTATTTTTGCTGAAGTATTCTTTATAAACCATATTCTTTACTTTTCAACCCAAATTTCAATGGTTGAGGGTTTGCGCCACATATGAAATCATGAAAAAAGGTTGAAAAGGTTGACATTGTAGAAAACGGACTAGAAGGAAATCTATTCGTTTTTCGATCTTATATATAGAAGCAAATTTTCACCTGTTCTTATTGTTCTTTCATATATAATACATTAAGCAATACATATACATTTTTCTCAAATTAATAAAAATGAAGTTTAAAAAATACACCTTTAAATGACCGTTTATTGGCTCTTCTACTTTATGGTGCAAACATTATTAATTTTTAGATTTCATGGAAAATATCCAAAAGTGAATTTGTTCAGATTTATAGTAGCAACTTTTTGTTGATTCCAGAAACTTGAATTTGCTAGATTTACCCCTCTGAAAACCTCTGTATTCCTAGGGATCAATCTTATAAACAATCAGGTATCCAGAAAAACTGCTTACCTAAATTTGTTACCTCTTAACTGATACAGTAATCATAATAATGTCACATGAACAATCGGTTTTCCCAAATCACAATTTAAAAAAAACCCAGAATTTTGCATTAGAAATTTATATCTAAATTAGGATATTATGTCATTTTACGAACTGGTTATTATATCCTATTTTGGCAAGTGGTGCCAACCTATTTAAATCTTTTCATTGTATATATGATCCTTTCCTATACAACATGGAAAGAATATTTATGGTGTTCCTATTTTCAATTTTTGTTTATTTCAGTCGGTGTAATGACATGAACAGTTTTGTTTTCTTTAATACAGATGAAATTTGTTTAGTTTTCTATTGTTTAACTGATACCTGATGGAAAAATAGCCTACAAATAATTTAGATTATGAAATAAACTGCTCTTAAAGGGAGACAAGTCAAATTTATTGTTAAATGAATATTTGATCCTGAAATAGTGGAATTCATTGTTTACGAGAGATAACCATTGGTAACCATCTCAAAGGAAAAACATTGGTTTGCAAAGCTAAAACGGTCTCCGGGGAATACACATTTACCGTTTTTCACAATATTTTTCCCTAGGTCATGGTCCAGCAACTTTGAATTAACTAGCAATTTTCAATTAAGTTTTCTGCTTACAGCAGATTCCATTGAGTGTGTAGGCAAAGGTAATATCTTTGGTTAGCTTGCTTGTTAGCTGAACCGTGAAGTCATTATTAGGTCAAGTATACTACCCTCCTTTCGAAGAAGCATAGTCCAACAGACAGATCGATTGGTTTTCTGTCGGACTAGTCTATTCTTAAAGTAGGGTAGTTTACCTAACCTAACAATGACTTGCTGTAAGTTAGTTTGATAGGATCTACTAGTGATAGATCAATGATATTTTGTATAAAGTCGCATTACTATCAGTGCATATCAGTTTGAGGACTATTTTGAGGTCCTGGTCCCTAGGACATGGTCCAGTGACTTTGAATTAATAAGCAATTTTCAATGTTAAGTTTTCTGCTTGAGTTAGTTTGATAGGATCTACTTGTGATAGATCAATGATATTTTGTATAAAGTTGCATTACTATCAGTACATTGTCAACCATTTCTAGGCCCTGCCCACAAGATTATGGTCTAGCGACTTTGAATTAATAAGCAATGTTGCTGTCCATCAGATTGTGTTTTTCTGCATTTTATGCAGACAGGCCAGACATATCTCTCTGTCAACAGTTTTTTCATTGATACTTACTGTATTACATTTTATCAACTTCTATTTATAATAATGTATTATTTTTAGGCAATAAAGGTTTCAAAAGACCAAAAGATACAATTGCACAATCACAGTCATGGACAGACACAAACCAACAAAATAATGGTAAACTTGGTTCAGATATACCAAATGATCCAAAGCAGGATATTAAAAAATCTACCTTACCTCAAAACAAAAGTCCTCCTGGGAAATCACTTTATACCAGAAATTTAACGCCTACAACTACCGGTAATGGTAAATCAAACAGTAATAGAACACCCACTCCACCAGGAAGCTACACAAGGAATCCATACTACCAGTCATTTTATAATAATCCTGCCAGCATGTATGCAAAGACACTGGAAAGTTTCAGTTCAAAACCATTTTCATCGACTCGGAACAACATTGAAAATAAAAACTTAGACCAGCAGAAAAGCAATACTCCAGCCATTCAGATTCTTACTAATAATAACAGACAAAGGAAAACAAATGATAAAGAAAATAGTAACGGTACTAGTCCAAAGTTAGAGAAAAATATCAATCCTATAGCTCAGAAAAATATCAGTCCTGTAGCTCAGAAGAATATTAGTCCTGTAGCTCAGAAGAATATTAATCCTGGAGCTCAGAAAAATACTAGTCCTATAGCTCAGAAAAATAACAGTCCTACAGTCAAGATAAAATATGCAAGTCCTACTTCTCATGGAAGTACCAGTCCAATTTTACAGAAAAATACAAGTCCAAATGCTATGAGGAGATCAGTGCAGAATGTAACTAATGATAACAGACAGGCAACCAGCCATTTATACAATGAAAAGAAACCAAGTGATAATGAAGCGAGTCGAAATATTCCAAACAAAGTTAGCTATCAGGATTGTATACCACCCAATTCAGGATATCAAAATGATCAGCCTCAAAATGATGTTGATAACAGATCTAATCTTCATGATACTGTTAATAAGTTTAACAAAGATGGTAAAGGTTCTAGTCGCCATGTCTTGATGTTACAACAACAGCTTTATCAAGAGGATCAACAACAACAGGATTATCACGGCAGAAAACAATATAACTACCATGGCCATTCTTACAGTCCACCACCATATCCTACACCTTGGAGTACATATGATTATCATGAACCTCAGCATGACATGACATTTGATTCATCCTATCCTACTTATCAACATTTTGGTGGAAATAATTACGACTATCGTCCATTTTCATATAGTCAGAATAATAGTTATAATAATAATCCATATGGATGTTATCGTAACAATTCGTGGAATCAGTATAATAGTAACCCGTATAGAAACCAGAGACCTGGTACCAGTCCACCAGCCCCTAACTGTCAAACTATGTGTTCTACTGTAGTTCAACAAAAATGGTCCCATAGATGTAGCCCTTATGACATGGTAGAGGAAGGACCAGCAATGCAAAGGCAGTCACCAATGAACATGTTTAGACCCATCACACCATCACCAGTCCCTGGGGCTTGTAGTAGTCCAGCAATGGATGATGAAGAGCTTGAATGGGAGGGTTTTGTTGGTCCAGTAGAATTGTTGGTTTCCAATCTTGATTATAACATCAGTGCTAAGGAATGGAGAAAGATTCTGTTCACAACCTTTCATCCTCATGTTAGGGTAAGTGTTTTATTTATATTTCCATTCAATAACTTGCCTTTGAGGTGAGTTTACTAAAAAAATTCTGGCATCAGTTGCAATAACATTGACACTAACAAAAGCTTAAACTTGCCATCTCATTTAATTACCGTAGTAAATAATTTTCACCATGAAACTGAAGTGCATGAATGGTATGGCAACATCATACCTAATATCAATGGCAAATCAAAAATATTTCTTCATGAATACATCTACTAAACTTATAGTTTTAACACATGACACATTTTTTGGTTCAATATTTGATTTCAAAAGTTGAAGATAAAGGGCAGAGAATATTCTTGAAAAATATTTCAGTGTATTGTTATACCGGTAATTTACAACATTAATTTGTTCAGATCTAATTTCAAACCAAAAGATAGGACTAAAACTAGACTCGTAGATAAAAAGAAACTTTAAAAACAGATATACTGTACTAAAGAAATAAACTATTTCTTCTTTCAGGTTTTAAATGTACATGTAAAGACTCAACCAGACAACACAAGTATTGGTATGGTTAAAGTACCAAACATTGAGGAGGCCAGATTTGCTATATCACAGTTCCACAGAAAGAAAATAGGTTACAAAAGAATCCATGTCACTCTGAAACAAGAGGAAACACAGAGACCAGCCAGCAGTACAAGGTTAATTTAAATGTTCCATCCATAAAATATAACAGTAACGATTATGTTTTTGATAATTATTCATTACAACTAAATCATTAAGATGGTTTATTTCAAAGCAGAAGATGCTGAAATATAATTATTTTTAAAAATTACAGTAGTCAAGAACATTAAATATTTTGCTGTGATATTTCTGTAAGTTGAGTGCTTATGAACTAACTTCCTATTAATTTCAACAAATTTGATTAGATTTATTATAAGTATATATTAGTTTACATGTGAATATTTTTACTTTTACAGAGCAGAAGCTATTGCCTTGCTATCAGAGGCTAAAGACAATTTTCTTCCATTGTTTAAATTTATTGAACTGTTTGATAAAAGGTGAGCTGGATTACTTATAAGTATACACAATTCTGTTTATGTTCAACCTTGGAATGTGTTAGGCCTGTGTCTGTCCTTAGTACCTATATTCAAAATGTGTGATGGTTTTGCATTTAGGTCAATTTTTTTCACCACTACATTGACTATTATTTAGTACACTTAATTATGTACATATATAATATTTCATCACAATAGTCCTTTTACATATTAAAGTATAGTTATTGAATCATCATGTAGATTTCTACTTGAAATGCCAAGATTCATTTATCTATTTTGTGTTTGACTGCTTTTAATTGACAATGATTACCAGTTTTCTTGATGAAGGTCTGGGTTTCTCTCCAGGCACTTCAACTTCCTCCACAAATAAAAACTGTCCAACGTTACTGAAAATGGCATTAAACACCAACAAATGAAGAAATAATAATAGGACAATATGACTATCACTTTGGCAGATTGTTTTTTTAGGACAGACTTTGATGTAAAACACATTCATCAGCAAGTTTGTTAAGAAAAAAAAAAGGTTGCAATTTCAATTTTAAAATTTATTTTAAAGTTTAATATGTTAAATTCAGTAAAATCTTCCAAAAAATTCTAACATTACTGAAAATATAACTGAAAAAGTTTTGGATGGAACATAGTTACCTTGCAACCGAAAGAATGCTGTTCATTTTGCAGATATCACAGAACTATAAGTGTTTCAGAGTTGTATAAAATGAGAGATACACTAGAGATAAGAGAGCTGAGTGGAACTAGGATGGTACATCTTGTATGTAATTCCCCATACCAATCTGAACCAACTATCATAACTAATTCTGAACAGGATATGTATTATCAACACAATATAGTGAGTTCTAGAAGTTTGAATGGTTAATGTATATGCATTTGCAGTATGATTACGTTGCCCTGATCTTGTATAAGTTTGAATATGGTTTACATGGTTTGATCCAAATTTCAAATTAGACCAGTTTGTTTGTGATATTAAAAAAAACAACTTTGTGCTATAAACTCTTCAGCGTTATAATATCTAAGTTCATAAAAACAAAATAGAAAAAATAAAACCACTTTGGTGGTCACCCAGTAGCCTGCTCCTGCTAAGTAAGCAGGGTATCACATCTTCCTGTGGGATGTTATCTTGTGAATAAGAACATAAAAAATCTTGCTCAGTTTGTCAGTCTTGTACAAAACAGGCTTCATTTGCACATCACATTAACATTTTCTTCTCCTAAATATGCTTGTATTATGCTACTGGATGTTAAATATCAATCCGTCCATCCATCCATCCATCGATGAAACATCTACCCAACATAAGATTAACAGCATTTAAAGTATTATACAGATTTTTGTGATGTTTTTATTATTGTGAATATTGAGACAAGATAGGTCTTGCAACAATAAATAATAAATGCATGCAAAAATTTCTGAATTTATAGTAATCAAAAGATTTGGTAATAATGATACATTATTCAAAAGAATTTGTAATAATGAACCTATGTTCACTGGTAGTTTTTAGTTAAATACTTTTTAGTTCTGTATTATAACTAATTTTTGAAGATGTGTTTATTTAAAATTTGCAGTTAAGCATGAACCAGATTCCTGAGGTATTAGAACAGCCAGCATGTCCCATCCATTGTCCTGAAGGTAGTATTATGTATGCTGAAGCTGTCAATAACTGTATGTTACCTAATGTTATGATGACGATTAAAATGTTTGGTCCTCAAGTCCATTCCTTACTGCAATCACATGATGGAAATATGCCTTTAATGAGGTGAGAATTAAAAGCTTACTGGTGATATTGTCTATTTGACCATTGTACAGGATAGGAACTAGGTAAAATTTATTTTATTACATCATTCATATGAAACATCAATTTGAAACTTAGAAACAATTGTTCATAATGATGTAAATTTTCCAAAATATATGCCAAATTAAGGTTTGACTCATACTGGAACATGGTGTCCAATAGACACATTCCTGTTTGATTGATGTTATTTTAAAGCTTTGCTTTTGATACCTTGGATATATTCACAAAACTTGAGGTTTCATAATCATAAATTGAATACAGGAACAGCAATATTTATCTGGAAATGCTTTTGTAGGATCCAATGTCAGTCTTCGATATGATTTCAAGTCCTCAGTACCAAATCCCTAATATTCTCGATTATTTATTTTCCATTCTTATTAGTTCCACATTTAGTGTCAAATAAAAGGTGAGATATATTTGTTGGTCACATTGTTTTTTATATAAACAGTGGACACCTTATATTCATGGTTCAGTGATATCTATAATGTTTTCATGATTATGTCAGCTTTATTTAACAGAAAAGAAAGAATATGGGGTTTTCAACCATGACACAAAATCAGTATATACACAGCAAAAAACACAAAAAAGCAACGGAACAGCACTTTTATTGTACTTTCAGCTTTGCAATATGCTTTAGTGCAGAATTTGGATGTCTCCCTATTGTTGGTGATAATGGTATACCCTTAGAACATCTGATTAGCTGTGTTCAGGGTATACAAATCCAGGTTTCACTATCGGGTGTAAAGAAGGTTCAATGGGCTGAAAACAAACCTTTATCTCCTCCAGGTAAGACTTGTAAGCTAAGTTTCATTTTAAACTTTTCCTTTGTTTATTCACAAAACTACTATTTTAATGCAATGTTTTTTGAATTGTATATGTGTATCAGTAACTATATGTAATCACTAGAAAATACCAAATGTTTTTGTTAATATTGAAATTAGATACAATATGTGTTTTCCATTGATTTGCCTTGTTTACTTTTTTGATTGACAATTTAGAGCTATTTTCCTGATGCTTGTAGTTTAAAGGTTTGGTTGGCTTGCTTGCTTTGTATAAATGTTTGCTCAAGCATTGTAATTAAGATTGACATCTGCAATCAATAGATAGGCGGGGCTTCAGCTTATATACATGATACTTTTAAATGTTATTGGATGTGAAGTATAATGCAGAGTATAATGTATACAAGCTGAAGCCCAACCTAGCTATTGATTGCAGATGTCAATCTTAATTACAATCATGATATTTCCTTAAACAAGTATTAAAAGATCTCACATTGAATTCAATCCTTTGCATTCTGTGTTATAAAGCTTAGAAGTTTTATTTTTGATACTAAAACATTTCCTTTCAGATTCTCCAACAGGTGGTAGTAATCCATTATTAAGTCAACAATTGAACCAGTTTAGTAAAGAGATGATAGAACTATTAAAGTCCTGTCCTAAATGTAGAATGCCATTTACCAAGTTTATACCATCCTACCATCATTTCTTCAACAAACAGTGTCGGGTGGCTGATTATGGTTACACTAGACTCAAAGATTTGTTTGATGCAGTTCCTCATGTTCTTCAGGTAATATGAAGTAAATGACATTTTAAGTTGACAAGCTTTTTTTTCTCCATAACATGTGCTCTTTTCCTTGAAACAGTCTTTGAAGGCATTTTTAAAAATCCACACCCATGTTACTAGTTGAATAGATTTTACAACATAATGTATTACAAGTGAAGTGCTATAATTTTGAGGAGACGATGATATTTGAAAATACTGGAACGACAACTGCATATACCGCATGTTTTAAATGCAGCAGCTCATAGAACCTGTAAGGCCCCATATAACTAAACTGCATTACATAAGCAAAATAAATATTAAGATTTAAAAATACAATATTTAGTGATGTTTGGAATAACTCAGCACTTTAGTGTGTATATCCATTTAACTTATTTCATGCAAATAGGTTCTTGGAACTGGTGAGAGAAAAGTTTTGACATTAAGTCATCGTGCCCAGATTAAAAGATTTACTGCCGACTTGCAGAAAATAGTGAAAGCTCAGTATGGTAAACAGTTGAAGCTCAGTTCCTTCACAGATAACTATAGTAAGTTAGTCTTTGATAATTGAAGATAAGAAATTTTTGTGAGGTTTTTATACGACAGCAAAAAAAAATTTGTGAGGTTTTTATATGACCACAAATTTTTTTGTGGTATATTGGTATGACGTTGGCGTTGGCGTCGTCATCGTCGTCCAAAGACGCATTGGTTTTCGCACTATAACTTTAGTTTAAGTGAATGGATCTCTATGAAATTTTACCATAAGGTTCAATACCACAAAAGGAAGGTTGGGATTGATTTTGGGGGTTATGGTACCAACAGTTAAGGAATTAGGGGCCCAAAAGGGGCCAAAAATAAGCATTTTTGTAACTTCCAGACATAACTTGTGTGTTAGTGTATGGATCTCTCTGACATTGTACCACAAGGTTCCATATCACAAAGGGAATGCTGGGATTGATTTTGGGGGTAATTGCCTCAAAATTTTAGGGATTAGGGGCGAAAAAAGGGGCAAAAAACAAGCATTTTTCTAGTTTCATGACAATAACTTGTGTGTAAGTGTATGGATCTTTCTTAAATTGTACTACAAGGTTCCATATCACAAAGGGAAAGCTGGAATTGAGTTTGGGGGTAATAGCCCAAAATGTTTAGGAATAAGGGGCCAAAAAGGGGCCAAAAATAAGCATTTTTCTAGTTTCCAGACAATTGTGTTCAAGTGTATGGATCTCTCTGAAATTGTACTGCAAGGTACCATACCACAAAGGGAAGGCTGGGATTGATTTTGGGGGCAATTGCCTCAAAATTTAGGAATGAGGGGCCAAAAAGGGGGAAAAAACAAACATTTTTCTAATTTCAGGACAATAACTTGTGTGTAAGTGTATGCATCTTTATGAAATTGTACTACAAGGTTCCATATCACAAAGGGAAAGCTGGGTTTGAGTTTGGGGGTAATTGCCCTAAACGTTTAGGAATTTGGGGCCAAAAAAGGGCCTTAAAACAATCATTTTTCTAGTTTCCAGACAATAACTTGTGTTCAAGTGTATGGATCTCTCTGAAATTGTACTAAAATGTACCATACCACAAAGGGAAGGCTGGGATTGAGTTTTGGGGTGATGAATCATAAGGGGGTTCAAAAAATTAGGGGGAGAGATTTTTTTTCCCTTTTTTTCCTTTTTTTTTTCTTTAAAATTTTCCATTTTAAATTGGTTATTTCTGATTTATATATAAAAGCAAATAATGATATGGTTTGAATAGTAAAATTAAAATTTTTTAAGTTCTTAGACCACATTCATTCTGTGTCAGAAACCTATGCTGTGTCAAATATTTAATCACAATCCAAATTCAGTGCTGTATCAAGCTTGAATGTTGTGTCCATACTTGCCCCAACTGTTCAGGGTTCGACCTCTGCGGTCGTATCAAGCTGCGCCCAGCGGAGCATTTTATTTATTATTAGGAAAAGTTCAAGTAGCTTAGGCCATGTTAAATAAATTTTTGGTTCTCGGATGAAGTTAGGAAAGGTATTTAATATTTGTATTATGCCTGTAAAGACATCAACCAGTAGTTATAACACTAAATCTACTGCAAAAAAAAATGGTACAAAGGGTCAATCAAAATTAAAAAAAATTCGTAAGGGTTCCAGTGTCTCGCCTACTTTTGCTGTTAATCGCAGGCTCAACAAAAATGAGGAAAAAAATCAATAAAAATATTCCTTTAGATACTATCTTTTGATTGTAAGAAGCTTCTGTCAAAGTTTGGTATAAATCCAGGATAGTTTATGAATCTAATAAATGTTTTAAAAACTTTAACTGCAGACTGTATTTAATGTTAACTGGAAGAAAAACTAAGTCCATTTATAAGTAAAATACGGATAAACAGGTACAAATTTTAACAAAATTTCCTTCTAGATACTAGCTTTTGATCATAAACAAGCTTCTTTCCAAGTTTGGTAAAAATCCAGGATAGTTTTAAGAAAGTTATTAAAATTTTAAAAACTTTAACCACAGAGTGAATGTAATGTTTCCTGGCAGAAAAACTAAGTCCATTTATAAGTAAAATACGGAAAAAATGAAATTTTTTTTTTAACAAATTTACTTCTGGATACTATCTTATGATCATAAACAAGCTTCTTTCCAAGTTTGGTACAAATCCAGGATAGTTTAAGAAAGTTATTAAAATTTTAAAAACTTTTACCACAGAGTGAATGTAATGTTTCCTGGCAGAAAAACTAAGTCCATTTATAAGTAAAATACGGAAAAAATAAAATTTTTTTTTTAACAAATTTACTTCTGGATACTATCTTATGATCATAAACAAGCTTCTGTCCAAGTTTGGTAGAAATCCAGGATAGTTTAAGAAAGTTATTAAAATTTTAAAAACTTTAACCACAGAGTGAATGTAATGTTTCCTGGCGGAAAAACTAAGTCCATTTACAAGTAAAATACGGAAAAACAGGAATTTTATTTTTACAAAATTTACTTCTGGATACTATCTTATGATCATAAACAAGCTTCTGTCCAAGTTTGGTAGAAATCCAGGATAGTTTAAGAAAGTTATTAAAATTTCAAAAACTTTAACCACAGAGTGAATATTTGTGGACGCCGCCGCCGCAGACGCCGACGGAATGTAGGATCGCTATGTCTCGCTTTTTCGACTTAAGTCAAAGGCTCGACAATGACAATACAATGATCAAAAGGAAAGTTATTGACTGTTTTCAGAAAATTACTTTATCAAACACGTTACTGGGTCCAGCATAATTTTATTTTCACACTGGGTTAGTATAAAATCTTCCACTTTTCTAAGTCTTATCACACTGTCTCCTGCCTAGTCTTAGCTGACACATATGGTCATACATTTATGATATTAAATACTAGTACAATGCAAAATTTCTTGCTTTCTCATCATTGTTAACTTGTTAACTTATAAGCCATAAGATTTACTACAAATTGATATATAATAGTATTTTTATTTCAGCTTTGGTAATGAACAAAGATTTCGATGCCCTTGATTATGGAATGGCATGTGTTGAAGATTTACTCAATGATGTTTCTCCAATCTCAGTTATAGTATGAAATTTTACTTACTATACAGGTTCTCAGTACTACCAAGATTCCAAACAATTTTTTTTTTACAAAACTTTTTTGTTACTCTCCTGAAAATGTTAAGATTCTCTAGACAATTTGAAAACTTTTTATTCAAAGGATATGTCCAGAAATAGCTTTATCACAATCTTTGACTTTACTAACTTTTAACCATGATTCTTTTTTTTAAATCTGTTTTCCAATCAAGCATGTTTTACCTGGACTGTCACTACATATATACTTTACTATTAGTTTTAGATTTGTATCATGGAAATATGGTTATAATTCATGTTTTGTTTTTAGTATTTGGGAGTTTAAATTACCTAGGTCAAGTTTAATAATCATTCCATGATGTGGAGAAAATGGACGAAATTAAATCAACCCCACTCAATTGTAGAATATGAATCTACAAAAAAAAAATTCTGTCTTATAAGTACATTTTCTAAGAAATAATCCACAAAAATTGATTAATCTGTTGCAGGTTTTACAAGAAGATACAGATACTATCATTGCTATTCCAAGAAAAGGTAAAAATGTCCTTTTACAGTCAATATATTGTCTGGCCTGTGACAAATGTTGCATGATATCAATGAAGTTGTCATCTTGGTTACACCTTTATCAATATACTTCTCAATCACATCGGAATTTAATTTTAAGGGCTTTAAACAGATCACAAAAACTAGAACCTTATAGCACAAATGTTCTATTGACAAAGATCATGATTTGTTGTGTGGGAATAGTAACTGGAACAGGGTAAGAAGAATTTCCAAATATTGCATTGTTTTTTATAATGAAAGCAGAAGATGCCTAAGAAGTTAATGATATTTTATTTTTGCCTTACCTTCACAAACTACAGGACATTATAATGTATAAATGTACATGTCTTATGGGTACATTTGTTACTTGATTTTATATGGTTATTATAGATCAGACACCAGAAGAAATAGAAAGGACTAAAGAGTTTTCCCTGGAGGTAGTGGATTTATTGAAACATAATCCTCGGTGTAGAATGCCTTTCAATAAGTTTATACCATCATTTCATCACCATTTCGGTCGGCAGTGTCGAGTCTCAGATTATGGATTTACCAAGTTACTGGACTTGTTTGAAGCTATACCACATATTGTAGATGTAAGTATACTCACGGAAAAAAGACATGTTGAAGGGGAAATATAAAAGACATGTTGAAGGGGAAATATTCATGAAGATTAAGATTTTACAATTCATTAATTCCCTATGGCCAAAAAGCTGAAAAAATACTAATTTTGTTCAAGTAGATTGAGAGTAAATTTGCATCGGATTATCTATTCGAAGGGTATTGACTATTCGGGACAATCAGATAAACTTTCAATTATTTCACTTCAAGGTGCCATGACTGCAGACTTTTGTTATATTTGCTTTTGGGTTGCTGTCTCGTTGACACCATCTCTTATCTCCTCAAATGTGGTAGATCACAGATTTCATTCTTGGCCGAATGAACCATAAACTTAAAAAAAAAGTATTTTGAACTTAGCCATGCATATTGTTTTAGGACTTAATCCACTGTATGATACACTTTTATTGTCTTGCCTGCAACAAAAGAAGTGGTAGCTAGACATAGTGATCTTACATTAGCAGGCAAGACACAGTGTTTTGTGTAACCCTTTACAGTTTTTCTGGTTGAATTGGTTTAGGGATGGTCATTACAACCATCCTTCCCGTGACCATATTAATGGATAAAAAAGTCATAAAACTGTTGAGGCATAAATTAGTTCAATCACTGCTTTATGTTTTTAAATGATCTTTTAAACTTTTCTATTATGAAACAGATTGAAGAAGATGGAGAAGAGAGGCTGATACATTTAACAGAATCTGAGCTGAGAAAAGTTTTAGCAGATCAGATTGTTGAATTATTGAGAGCCCAGAAGAATCATTGTCTGGCATTGCATCATCTTATGTCAGCTTTTACTTGCCATTTCGGTTTTAACATTCCACTACATGATTTTTATGTAAACTCTGAGGAAGAACTTGTCCAGAAGCTTAAACATGTAGTGAGAGTAAGTATTTATATGTTTAATGTTTATTAAATGTGTTAAATATTTTTTGCTGAGGCATTCAAGTTGATAATTAGATTATCTGGCAGTTTTTCCATTATTTTTTTTTAAACTTAGGATTATGATTTTCACTAAATGGATAGTGTAGTTGTGATTTTTTTTTAAAATATGGGCATTGCAATATGATCAAGATTCATCATAAGTCTGATTGTTACTTATAAATAAACAAGAATGTGTCCATAGTACATGGATGCCCCACTCGCACTATCATTTTCTATGTTCAGTGGACTGTGAAATTGGGGTCAAAACACTAATTTGGCATTAAAATTAGAAAGATCATATCATAGGGAACATGTGTACTAAGTTTCAAGTTGATTGGACTTCAACTTCATCAAAAACTACCTTGACCAAAAACTTTAACCACCTGAAGCGGGACGGACGGACGGACGAACGGACACACAGACCGAAAAAACATAATGCCCATAAATGGGGCATAAAAAGATGTTGGGTATATGGGGCCAATGGGATGTATTTTGTGTTGAAACATAGAAAGTGGTCCCAGATGACAAACCTGACCAACTAAGAGCTATCCTTGAAAAAAATCTCTTGCTACAGTAAAATATTGAATGTAATTTTGATATAAAAAAAAATCCAAAATTACAATTTTATTTTAAACCTTGTCCTCAAATCGTAGCTATTTTATGGCCCTTTCCTCACCAAAGCCTTTAAAATTAGATGCATTTCTTCATGTATGGGGAATTTAAGGCCTTGCAGAAAAGATACACCCGACAAAGAAGCCATGTCGGGAACATTTAACATGTTACAGGATTGAATAAGTTTCTGCTCATTTGACCCTCCACTTTCCATAGAAAAACGTGCCACAGCTTTCCACATGTCAGTTAATATAAAATTTACACCTGAGATATCCACAGGAAAACTTCTACTGAATAAAATACCTCTCACCTGAGATCTTCAGGAAATCTTTTGCTGAATATAATGCCTCTTTAAGAATTATCCTACTTAGCTTTAGCTGATTTACATAGGCTGAAATCTTTATATTTTAATAGATTGATATGATAAATAGATGTAAGTATATTCGCCTGTTAGATCGACAGGGGACACCTGAATTGGCTAGACAAGTGTTACAGCTATTGATGGATCAAAGCAGTGGTTCTCTCCCCTTGATGGAACTTTTGAGTAGATATAAATCTATTTTTGGTAAAGAATGTGATATCAGACAGCTGAAAGATGAACTTTTAGATTATGTTCAGGTATGCAGTATGGGATGTTCACTGTAGTATTGCAATATGATGTTAAATTTTACAGAAATTAGTTCTAACTGAGGTTTTAAATGTTTTTTTAAACTTTTCTGTTAAAATTTAGATTTAATACTTAGTTTGGTTACATTCTTTCCAAAATTTGGGATTCTACATGAATCTTTTTGAATATGGTGTAGTCATAAAAAACATAATAAATCTTAATTCATCGTAATTACAATTGTTTACTATTGTTTTCTTTTCTTACTGTTGCATAAATTATATTACTGTCCAGTTTGAATAGAAATTCATACCATTCCTGACTTTTCTGGGAGACAGGATTTAACCATCATCTGAAAATAATTTGTTTCTTTTAAGTTTTATTTTCACAACAATCTTGTATATATTATTTTTCCTTTACTGTTGATTCATTATTTGTTGGATACCTTTTTTTGATGATTTCTCTGGTATAAGTAACCACAAATTTAAATGTTTAACAATCTACTAATTTTCTGAAGGCTTTGGCAAATCCAAGAAATCAAATAACCACGAAAATACTAGTTTTCCTCAGTCCACAAAAAATGACCGAAAATAAATGAAAACATAGTATATTAAAAGAAAGAAAAATGTTTTATTGTTCAATCATAAACTTGAATTTCTACAAAAGTTTGTAGAAAATAATCTTTCTATGTTTTGCAGTACAAATGCATTGTACATATCATTTGCTATGTTCTAAATAATCTTAAATTGAATTACAGATAAAGGGGGATGATGAGTCTGGAATCATCAGTCTAACTTCACTCCAGGTGTTTGCTAGAGATGTCAGGGTTCTACTACAGAATGGTCTACAGGTTTATGTTTCTGATTTCGAGAGGGTCTACAAGGATCAGTTTGGTGTAGAACTAAAGCCTGCCTTGTTTGGTTATACATCAGTAGAGACTCTTCTAGAAGCTATCCCACATGTTGTCCAGTTCCAGGGTAAAACTCCCAGAAGATATGTAGAACTTTCTCATGATCTAGATGGTAGGTTGAATTTCATTTATCATTTTCCACAATTGCTATGAATACAAAGAGATGTGGGGTGTACATCTTCAACACAGCAAACCAACAACACAAAAACCAAAAGGAAGTTTTTAACAGCTAAACAGTTACCAATTGATTAACTATAGCACTTTCATTATTGTTAGTTTTTAGACATAACAATACTGCAGTAAATGGTTTGATGAGCAAATGCAATCTCACTTTATATTTGAACATATGTTGTCAATACTCTTTTATATAAAATTGTTGCATTCATTTATAATGGCTAGTTAATTTATAAAGAACTTTTTCTGTAATTTTTAGGAAATACTTTGTCTTCAACAGACCCAAAATCTATCAGTCCTCTCCTACTGCTGAGTAATAGTCCAACTAATGGTAAGTTATTAGTCAGTTATTTAGACATGCTTTTTGTTCCCTATTGCAAAAAGTTGAGGGTATATTGTTAAACTCTGTCCTTTAGTTTGACCTTTTTTCTGTTAATAGGGTATATGTTTTATCAGCAAGTCCACATGGTAGAAAGTTTAAATTTTAACAAAATGTCTTTCCACATACTAGCGAAATGTATATTATCAGGAATTTAATTTCATGAACTATTCACAAAATGATTGTTAGTTGAACTTACACAATTGATGTTTATTTATAACAATCTCTTACCAATCTAATACTGATGAAGCAAAGGTTTGTAAAATCTAACAATGTAGTATGATTGATATTTATTACATAAAATTTGTACAGTCTTGCCAATGGTCACTGTGACCTAAGTTTAGATAAGAAGAAGCAATTAAACAACTATTTTCTAGTTGAAATGAAATCTTCCAAGTATTCATGGCTTATGGAATTAAAGGTAGTATGGGTGTCTTTCGTCATCTTTGACTGTAAAATAGCAGAACACAATAGCTGTAGATTTTCAATCAAGTCAGCAAAATTTGTTGCAGAAATGCAATTATGTGAATTTTGATTTAAATCAAATCAAATCAAATCATTTTATTGGTGTAAAATCTAAATACTGGGTTGTTACTAAGACAAACATGACAATATTTACAAACATACAATATTCAAAGTTAACCAGCATTCATATTATATAAAGTATCATATTTAGATATTTTGGAGGAGGTGATTTTTTTGCAAATTTGAAAGTAAAAATACAATATTTTTAATGATATTGTTATAAAATATAACAAAATAAATATATATGTAATAAAAATTTTTAAAAAATAGTCACAAATTTGTATTACATAATTCTAGTTTTTTCTTGTCAGCTAGGCTATTTCTTAGTACTTATAAATCATTAACCCCCTTAACAATAATTTTAGTTATTTAATGCTCATTAAATGTAAACATAATGCACAATTTTTTGTGATTTTAACTTATAATAACATTTTACACGTAGGTTATTTTTGCTTGACTTTTATTTTTTGTTCATTTTCGTATTAAGGGGAGGTAACACAGAAATAGTATAATTTTGAAAGGAAACTACAAGAAATTTTTCTAATTACGTTATATCGTTTTTATATTTTTGAACATATCACAATATATACTACATTTTGGCAAAGTATGCAAAAATTCTATCATTTTAGTTTATACTCCCATACCACCTTAATGCAACAGTCTTAATAATTTATTTTAATTGTTATTTTCAGAATCAGAAAGAATAAAGAAACTGCTGCCTTCGAGAGTAGATTTATTGAATGAACCAGTTCCATCATCAGTACCTTCACCAGATCTTCATCCTAAAGAACAATCACCAAGGGATCTCATCTCTTTTGACTTAAGTACATATTCAGGTGAGAATAAGCCTTTTTTTGATAGCTCAACTCAGCCCGAATTATTAATATATTGAATAAAAAGAAAATTTATAAATTTGGTGCGTTTGAATCGCTTTTCTGGATTTACCTTTATCAGGAAAGCTCAAAACCAAAAATTTGAAAGCCAGGGACGTATAAATATATGAATACATAAGGAGCTGTATCACAAAGAGAGACTTAAAAAGAATAACCAAATTCATCTATGGTCAGCTTTGCCTGAAAAAGTTGAAACCTTAGTTTTCTATAAGTTCTAAAATTATCAAGAGAGAATTTTAGACAATTATAAGGTGTATAATACTCTTTACAACGCCATAAACTATAAACAGTCATAATAAGATATAGAGATAATCCATCCAGAAACACAAGATAATCCATCCAGAAACAAGGGATGAACTCAGGTGCTCAGAAAAAAAAAATCAAATGAAAAATTTTTTTTAGTATGCATTCAGGTAAGAAATTGAAAAAAAATTGTTGAAATAACATAATTTTTAAGGTTCTTTATCATTTAAGATTGTTTAACTTTACATTTAGGGTTAATTTGTACAAAACTTACTTGGGAACTTAGTATGGAATGTAATATATATATCAACATCTGCATTAAATATGATAGTCAGAGAGGATATAAAATGAAGTTTATAATGGTAGATTACTCTCCTGTTCTTCATCCTCATAATAAACAGAAAAATCCCGCTTGTTTTCCAGATCTTGCTGATCAGTTATGGCGGTTGAGTGAAGAGGAGAAAACTGGACAGAAGACCCCACTTTGTATGACACCAACTTCAGAACTTTTACAGTTAGCAGCAAAATGTCTAGTCAATCGTCCACCAGATGTAAAAAATGACACCCAGAAGTCTGAAAGTATCACAGATATTATTAAAAATGGCTGGTGGAAGATTGTAAAATCACAAGAGACCCAAGACAATTCTTCAGAAACTGAAACACCAAAACAAGAAACCACCATTAAATCAACTGATACTATTGGCAAGAGTTTATTTGAACAAATTTTCAACAGAAGTTCAACTGATGTTCAGAAAGATATTGCCAAGGAAGAAGCAACAAGGTCCTCGGACTATAGAAAGAAAACGATGATCCATAGTCCTCTGCAAGATACACTACTGTCACATGACGAGTTGGCTCTCACCAAATTAAAACAAGCAGGTATAGATATGGAATCTCAGACAAAGAAAGAATGTGTTAGTAAAGACTCTATATCATATGAGACCATGTTTAGAAGAGATTTTCCTATAGAAACCAGCTCCATTAAATCTGACACTAGTACACTTAGCGATGTTTCACAAGATTCTCCAAAGAAATCTCCAAGGAAACCAAGACTGGCTGCAAAATTTGATATACCTATAGATGGTAGTCATTAATACAATTGTATTCTAGTAGTAATACAAGAGATATTAGTGATAAAATATTCAAGTTTGCTTGTTCAAAATCATTAACATTATAATAATGTTTAAGAGTAGTGTAAATTATATCATAATGAATTAAATAAATTTATTTCTTATACTGGTAACAAAGTAGTTCTCATCAAGTAGCGATTCTCACATACATAAATTATTTTTTTAAACTTTGTCTTCATTCAGTATCCAGAACTGTAGCTTGACTTGTCATCTATCATTTCAATGTTTTACTTAAAACTTATGGCACTTATTTCTTGGGTAAATAGATAAACTAAATAGAATTGCTACTTGGGGATGATACAGTGGTGTGAATTTTCATTAACTCATAAAAGACTCATATTATTTTTGAATTGTGTATTAATAGATATTTTATAATGCAAAAAAATTAGCTCTGTTGTATCCCATAGGTTTTTTTTTTACTTTCAAATAAACTCTTTAAATTTCTTAGTTTAATATTTTTGAAAATATCAATGCGTGATGAATTTACTTTATTTTTTCCTGTCAGATTCATATTTAAAACATGTTAATTTTCAGATATCTTTTCTGGTCAAAGTTTATGTGAGATATTCATTTCTTGTCAAAGTTTATGTAAGAAATTGTTGATGCACATCACTTAAATCTATAAAGATATTACTTGGAAAGGACAAAAATTCTAACGAATAAAATTGATCACAAGATTGCTGAAATTTTCCTAACTTAAAAGTGAAATACCAATGGGATATTTATTATCGGAATATTGTGTTTATGTTGATGTGATATTTATGACGGTAGTGTTCTTTGTATGTTTTGTGTTTATTGTCTTTCGTTAGTGTCATTCTGTATGTTTAGTTTGTACATTTTGATGTATGGGAATTTTAACTATGCATCAATTGATTTGTCAGAATATGCAGCTACATCATATGCAAGGTATACAGATAGATACATATTGTTTTATACATCCTTTCATCTTTTCCACTTTGTGGTAACAACTCAGAAAAACTGTTTGAAAAAAAAAACATTTGAGAAACAATTCACAACTAGTATGTTCACAAGTCTTACTGATTTGTTGAACTTGGGTTGATAATGATTACACTTCAATAATTTGTATGTCTATTTTTTCAAATAAACCGTCTCAATAATCAGAGGTGCCAAATTGGATATTTTTATTTCTCATTTAATATATGCCATAAGAATTATTTTCACAAACATAGTAATGTCTGAGAATTAAAAAAATTACTTTTATTGGCCTAAAATAAATTAGTTCTTAGTCTAGTTTGGTTTACAGTACTGTATATAAAGTAGTTGGGGTATGGTACTAAAATGAAAGGAAAGAAAAATTTGATTTAAGAAGAAGCACTTGTATTGTCGACATGAATTCAGGGGGTAATTTAACATCTCTACATTGTGGTATAAGGATTAGAAGAAGAAAAATGTTTTCTGCATTTAGTATTTAGATATACATGTAGTAAAAAAGTCTGGAAGGAAGATTCAATGCATAACCATGCTGACACAGATCAAAACTGTAGTGTGGTTGTACATGAAAGTTAGTCCGAGAAGGGTTTTATTTTCTAGAAAGAAATTTTTCAAAGCAATTGAATATAATGTAAAAGCATAAGTGTTTTGGAAACACAAATTGCCTTTCTTTACATATAGATGAAAGAGAGAAAGTTTTATACTAAGTAAATGGAGAGGACTTTACTGAAACATTATTTTTTCAAACCATCATTTGTATGTTACATACAGGGAAAATACACTTATTTTGTGGGCATGTTTTCATGTCCAAAAATGCTACATTGCCTTATATGTTAATATATAGGGAGATGACTCCATATTAAAATTTGTTTTTGTCATTGGCATTTTCAGGTGTTGAATTACTTCAACATCTATTACTTGGTGTTGAAAGGTCATACAATTTGAATAAATGAATAAAAGGATATTCAACACAAATTAGGATTTTGTGAATTGTGCCAGATATTACTTTTGATATTGCTTTTTTATAGATCATCTTTAAATATGGTGTATGTCTTAGAGTTTTAAATATTTAGTTCTTGTATTCATTCTCAACCATGCTGACACAGTTTAAAGCTGTAGCATGGTTGAATATATAATACCATTTTATGAGAAAGGATACTATAGTAAAATTTTCTTTGTGTTCTAAGATTATTTGCAATAATTTATCAATGATGTGCAGTTTTATCCTTCAGTTATGAGTTACTTATTTCAGATAGCTCATACACTTCTAAGGGTATTACTTAGAAAAAAAAATATTCTTGTACATGTTAATACAGACCTTATCCATTCGATATTTTATCTCATTTTTTGTAGGACGAGATATATTTTCATCCAGATCTTTTGCAAAGGAAAAAAATATTAACTCTAAATTAACCATAATTAGTAGAGTGTGCCCATCATTTCCTCAAGCTTATTTTCAAAGATGTATTGTAAATTATTGAATGAAATTAAGCTGTCATATTTCTATAAATTGTTTACTGGCTTCAAAGAAAAACTGTATTATAGTGCTGCTTCTGACAATAAAAAGAACTGAAGATATGATTTGTTTTATGTTACCCATGCTACTGTAACATAGTTACACAGAAAGGATAAAAATTTACTATCATTTTTTTTGTCTCGTCTCCGACAACGTCGCAGTATGCAAGACGTAGGGATAACTACCTGAAGGAAGATAAAACTTTATATTTCAGAAGATAGAAGACCTCGATGCTTCATTCCTTGTATGCAGATACCTTATGTTACGGAGTTTCTGTCTGTCATATGTCCATTGTTCTTGACCTCATATTCATGGTTGAGCGACTGCTTGAAAAAAAATTGTATTTTTTTTGTCATGTGAATTTTTCACTTATCATGATTAATAGGATATTAAACTATATTTGGTACATGTGTTCCTTGCAATGTCTACATGTCAGGCATGGTTCACTTGACCTAAGCCTCATTTCTTGGATCAGTGATCAAGGTTCAAGTTACGCGAGTAGGTCTGTTTATCAGATACTATAAGCAATAGGTCTATTATATGTTGTTTATGGAATGATTGTAAGGGGTTAATGTCAGTCTGGCAGGTTTCATCTGACCTTGACCTCATTTTCAGGGTTCATTGGTCAATGTTAATTTTGTGTTTTGGTCTGTTTTTCAAGTACTCCTAGTAATAGGTCAGCTATGTGATGTATGGAATAATTTTATGGTGTATATGACTGGGTGGCAGGCATTATCTGACCTTGACCTCATTTTTCATGGTTTATTGCTCAGTTTTTAGTATTTGTTTTGGTCTGTTTTTCAAATACTAAGCAGTAGGTCAAACTTATTTGGTGTATGGAATAGTTGTAAGGTGTACATGTTTGTCTGGCAGTTTTCTGACCTTGACCTCATCTTCATGGTTCATTGGTCAATGTTAATTTTTTGTGTTTTGGTCTGTTTTTCAATTACCATGAGCAAAATGTCAACTATATTTGGTGTTTGAATAATTGTAAGGTTTACTTGTCTGTCTGACAACATAAATCTTTAAAAACGTTAAGTTTGTGATACTATTAGTCTATCTTTAAGACTTTCAACATAAAATCAATGGTCATAAAAGTAGGCTAGACATTTCAGCGTGTGCACTCTTGTGTAACAATTTCATTATTGACAACCACTTTTAACAGGAATAACAAGACTTTATATTTCAAAAGGTAGAAGAGCTGGATATTTAAGTCTCCCGAACGAAGTTTGGGAAGACTTATTGTTTTTGCTCAGTTCTTATTATTATTATTATTATTCTTCTTCTTCCTCTTCCTCTTCCGCCGCTTTTAAATTTGTCTGCACCCGTTCTCCAAAACCGCTTGTCAGATTAACTTAGGGTTTCACAATATGTTAGACTAACATGTCTAGTGGTGCAATCAGGGTTTTGTTTGAGCAATGGGGTTTATAAAGGGGTACTTTGAGGGGCAAAAAGAAAAGAGGGTTTTACTATAGAACCCTATGGGATTTTATTTTTTAAAATTTTCAAATGATTATAAATTGAAAACCGTTTGTGATAGACACAATCTTTTTAATTGAAAATCGTTTGTGATAGACACAATCTTTTTAATTGAAAATGTTCTAAATGATAAAACCCATTAAATGAAATACAGGGTTAGCCCCCAGGGGTCATCCCCACCCCTGCCATTTAAGAAAGTTCTAATACCTTGTAAGTGGTCAAGATCCCCACCCCTAAACCATATATATTCTGGTTTGTCATGCTAAGATGGTTTGAATGATATACAGGGTTAGTCCCCAGGGGTCATCCTGACCCCCTGCCATTTGAGAAAGTTCTAATATCTTGTAAATGGTCGAGATCCCCATCCCTAAACCATATATATTCTTGTTTGTCATGCTAAGATGGTTTGAATGATATACAGGGTTAGTCCCCAGGGGTCATCCCGACCCCCTGCCATTTAAGAAAGTTCTAATATCTTGTAAGTGGTCGAGATCCCCACCCCTAAACCATATATATTCTGGTTTGTCATGCCAAGATGATTTGAATGATATACAGGGTTAGACCCCAGGCATCACTAATGCATATAACTTTACTGGACCAAACCAATTTTCACTGGACTTTGCCATATATATTCTGGTTTGTCATGATAAAGCAAATCAAATGAAATACAGGGTTAGTCCCCAGGGGTCACCCCCACCCTATGCCTTTTAAGAAAGTTCTAATATCTTGTAAGTGGTCAAGATCCCCACCCCTAAACCATATATATTCTGGTTTGTCATGCTAAGATGGTTTGAATGATATACAGGGTTAGTCCCCAGGGGTCATCCCGACCCCCTGCCATTTGAGAAAGTTCTAATATCTTGTAAATGGTCGAGATCCCCACCCCTAAACCATATATATTCTGGTTTGTCATGCCAAGATGATTTGAATGATATACAGGGTTAGACCCCAGGCATCACTAATGCATATAACTTTACTGGACCAAACCAATTTTCACTGGACTTTGCCCAATGTCAGGCGACCCTGGGAATTACGAATTATGGGAGCTTCGTTTGGGAGACTTCGTAACAGCATCCTGTTACAATCATGTCTTGTTTACATATTGTATCTACATGTAGATGCCTAAGTTTTAGTCTGACATGTTCATTTTTCTTTACCTCAATTTAATAGTTCAGTGTATGCAAGCAAAACTGTATAGATTTTTTCATTTCCTGAGTAATAGTTAAGTTATTGAATCATTCTGTAGGCCTGTATATTATGAAATATTTAAAATGCTACAACATCAAAACACTTATAATACAGAATAAAAGTGACCTGCCATTTTGTACATATTCCAAAGGGAAATGTTGTTCAAAGCAATACTGTTAAATATGTCATTGCATTTAATAGAAAATAATGATTTGGTGGCAAACAGAGCCATGATTTTTTGCAAAAATCTAGACTTTATAACAGTTTTTGTTATAAAGTTAAAAAAATAGATTACTCACTTGTTTGTCCATGATGTGATAGCCTTTATTGTCTACAAGAAGTCCTAAACAACCTTAACTATCCAAAAACCTTGTGCTGAGTCACTAAAGTCAAGCGCACCCAAGAAGGTTTACTTGAAGAAGTCCATTTTATATACGTCCGTTTACGGATGTATTATGATATAACGTTGTCTGTATGTCTGTCCGTCCGTTTGTCGTTAATACTTCAGATAATAACTCAAAAAAACTTTCACAAATTTGCATGATACTTTGGTGAATTATTTATATCAACTAACATAAGCTCCCTTTCAATTTTTATAAAATTTTAGATTTTATGTTTCCGAGTAATGGGATTTTATTCATACAAAATGGGGTATTTTCCAGTAATCTGACTATAACTCAAAAATGCTTTAAGCAATTTTCATGACACTTTGGTGAATTGTTTATATATATTGACATAATTTGATTCTCAAAAATTTCTAATTGTAAGTTTTGGAGTATTGGGACTTTATTTGTAATTAAAAAAGGGAGGATTTTCCAGTTTTTGGACAATAACTCAAAACCACTTTGAGAGTTTACAAGAAACTTTGGTGACTGGTTTATATCTATTGAGATAAGCCCCTTTTTGTTTTTTTTATAAATTTCTGATTACATTGTGGAGTTATAGAACATCATTTCAAGAAAAATCGTCCAAAACTGTCCATATTTCACATTATGGACATTTAAAGAGTTTTATTTGTTTAAAAATCATGGCCATAAACTTGTTTGGGGGGTGTCTATTTGAGCAGTGCTCACCGTAATTCTAGATGGATCATATAAATTCATTTAAAGCATAAAGTCAAGCTAAAAGGGTGACAGGTGTCTCATGCCCCATGAGCATGGTACAGCTCTTTATTATACTTGTTTTAACTATGGGAAAGGCTGCAGATTATTTTATAAAATTTCCATATGTTTAGCATTGAAACAAAATAGGGTACATTATCCTTAAATATGGTGAATATATTTAGTTTACAGAATCCATACAAAACTTGTTTAATATATATTAAGGAGATTCGGTATGATTACCAATAAGGCAACTATCAAAAAAAGTTCAAATGATGTTTGATTTTAGCCACTATAGCTAATGTACAGCCTTCAACAACTAGGAAAACCCATACCGTAAAGTTGCTATAAAATGCCCAGACATAACTAAATGTGAAACAATTAAAAAAAAAAACAACAGCCTTATATATGACAAAACCATTAAGGATAAACAAATATGAGGAGATTGCAACCAACAACAACAACAACTGTACTACTTGGGACAGAAGCATATAGAATATGGCTGGGTTAAATATGTTTGTGAGTATCAACACCTCCTCCTAACCTGGGACAATTGTATAAAAACATAAAAACAAACTAAAAATCTGTTGAAAATGGCTTGAGCCATCAGATTGGCACGTTGAACAATAAAAACATCTAACAGACAAATGGACACAAAGTACTGATCTAAACGTAATCCTGTATACTGAAAGCCATTTATATTTAAATGAAACACTTGTCTATTGTTGACTGTATATTGCCCGCTAGATGGGTTTTGTTATTTTTTGTTGTAGGGTTGTCTCATTGACTTGTACCACACATCTATTATTCATATTGTATAGTGTACATGTCCATCAGATTAGGTTCTTTTGACCTCATCTTTTTATTTGGTTTATTTATAATCTTGCAATAATTGCCTTGCAAGGGGATTCACCTAACCTTGACATTATTTTCATGGCTAATATCAACATCAACTTTTTTAGATTAGGAAAGTTTCTTGATTACTATCTTCTGATAAGTTTACTACATTTTGTATATTGAATCATTCAAGGCATACATGTTTGTCTTAAACTGACAATGACCTCATTGTCATGGCTCATTGGTTGACTGAAATGTCATCATTTAATGAGTACTGCAAGTAATAAAATATCTGTTTTTGGTCATTATAATCATTTTAGCTGTGACTGTCCTTTCAAGATTCATCTGACCTGGACATATTTCTCATACTGGATTGATACAATGTTTGTTTTATAAGGTCAATTTACATACAGTAGTTGTTAATATCTTTGGTCTATAGAAACATTGTATGGTATACATATCTTTCTTGTAGGGTTCAACCATCCTGGACCTGCATTTCATTGTTCATTTATTAACATAGTTTTTGTCTCGCCTGCGAAATATAGGGATTACAATCCTGTGGGGGCGGCGTAACCGTAAACTATTTGTAGTAAGCTTTATGTTTCATATTTCAGATGGTAGAAGACCTGGAGTCTTCATACTTTGTATACAGATGCCTTATGTTACAAAGTTTCCATCTGTCATATATCCTTTGTCCTTGACCTCATTTTCATGGTTCAGCGACTGCTTGTGAAAAAAAAGGTTTAGTTTTTTTGTCATGAATTTTTCTCTCATTATGAGTAATAAGATAACTATATTACGTATATGTGTTCCTTGCAATGTCTACATGTCTGTCAGTCATGGTTCAACTGACCTCGACCTCATTTCATGGATCAGTGATCAAGGTTACGTGAGTAGGTCTGTTTTTCAGATACTGTAAGACGTAGGTCAACTATATTTGGTGTAAGGAATGATTGCAAGGTGTACACGTCAGTCTGGAAGGTTTCATCTGACCCTGACCTTATTTTCATGGTTCATTGATCAATGTAAAGTTTTTGCATTTTGGTCTGTTATTCAACTACTATAAACAACAGGTCAACTTTATTTGGTGTATGGAATGATTTTACAGAATACATGTAATTCGGCCAGGTTTCATTTGACCATTACCTCATTTCGCAGTTCATTGGTCAATGTCAGGTTTTTGTGTTTTGGTCTGTTTTTCTTATATTATAAGCAATAGCTCAACTGTATTTGTTGCATGGAATGATTGTAAGGTGCATATGTCTCTCTGGCTGTTTTCATCTGACCTTGACCTCATTTTCATGGTTCATTAGTCAATATTATTGCACTTTTGTTGTTACTAGGTCAGTTTCTCAAATACTGTTAAGTAATAGGTCAACTACATTTGGTCTTTCTAACAATTCTAAAGTGTACATCATCTAACAGACTTCAACTGACCTTGACCACAATTTCACTGTTCATTGATCAATACCAAGTGTTCCTGATTAGTACTTTAATCAATGGTTAAATATATTTGGTCTACAAAATCATTGCAAGGTATACATGTCCATCTGACATGGAAAGTTTTAGTTATTTAGTTATAAGGTCAGTTTGGCAGTTACTATAAGAATGAGACTGCTGTCTATACATTTTTTTGCAATGTTTTTTTATCATTGCGAAAAATTGTGACTGAAATGGTTTCTAATAAACAAAAACTTGAAATTTAAATTGCATTATTTGTATGCAGTACTGAAATATTGATAATCAATCTGGTATTTTGTGTCCATTGTTCAACGATCACAAATGGATGCACAAATGTCTGAATTGACAGTAGATAAATAGTCAACAAGATTTTATAGTAAAGTGTACATGTCTGAAACTGACCTTAATACCATGCTTCATTTATGCATGTTTTTAGATCATTTATTCTGACAATAAATATGCAAGACAGATCAATGATATTTTATTTGTGGATTTTGTTTAGGTTTGACTTAAAAAAAGATTTGATATCTGAACCATTCTTATTGTTCACATGTGTATATTTATAATATCATGCTTTGCCTGGCATAGCAGAATAGTCTTAGGGTATTGGGTTTATAAATTGGTGATCCTGTTTTTTTATAGAAAAAAAATATAAATTACTAATAACAAATGAGATTTCTTTTATTCAGTATCCTCTTTGATCAATGTCTATCCCGTTGTAAGTTTTCAGTTGAACAATGATTTGAGCTTCTGCAACTGCAATCTGTATACTTTATGGATCATTGGCTAGCAACTCACTTTCCACTTCCTTATTTGAAACAACGAGAATCATCTCTGTATGATCCTGGATTCCATGATGATTGGGGAATAATACACTGTTTTGTCCACTGGTGACATGTTCATTCATCAGGAGAACAAGAAAAAGTCAGTACCTTCAGTAAGATTCATTGATGCCAAATTCTTCTCAAACTCTCCATCTGTCATATCCTGTAAATTCAAAAATATAACTTAAAGAAGGTAACTCCTGCAACAATTTTGTAAAAAAATTTAACATAAAAATGTAACTTCAATACTTAATTGATAGGGGTGCCACTGGGGTTCTGTTACCCAACCCTTTTCAAATATAATTTAGATTTTTAAAAATGTGTACCTTTACATATATTGCGTAGGTAAAAATGTAACCTTTTCCATATTGGTTGAGTTTCGTGTGGTGTGTTGGATAAGTGGAATACCAAATTGTCAAAGGGGAGAACTTTGTGGATAAAAACACAACCAGGAACACCAAAATAGATGACAGACAAAGAAGAAATATGATTCCATATGTAATGATTACTTATGGTGAGACATTCAGCTGTGAAAAAATTACAGGGCTTTTTATTTAACAAATAATGAACAAGTATGGACACAACATTCAAGCTTTCATTCATTGTGACTATTACAAGTGTGCTTTAAATTAATGTTCCTGCATTTATATATTCTGCTTTTGTAAATCAAAGAATTCTATACAGCATGTTAACTTGCATACTGAAAAATTTCCTGTAATTACATTTGCATTTGATATATTGAAAAATATTGGGTAACATATTAAAGGAAAATTGTTCATAAATAACTTGTCAATATATCTAGTCTGTTTTATTCTGAGGTCAGTATTTGATATGAGTTGTATCTTTGATTACGTCTGTTTTATTCTGAGGTCTGTATTTGATATGAGTTGTATCTTTTATTACGTCTGTTTTATTCTGAGGTCGGTATTTGATATGAGTTGTATCTTTGATTACGTCTGTTTTATTCTGAGGTCAGTATTTGATATGAGTTGTATCTTTGATTACGTCTGTTTTATTCTGAGGTCAGTATTTGATATGAGTTGTATCTTTTATTACGTCTTTTATTCTGAGGTCGGTATTTGATACGAGTTGTATCTTTGATTACGTCTGTTTTATTCTGAGGTCAGTATTTGATATGAGTTGTATCTTTTATTACGTCTGTTTTATTCTGAGGTCATTATTTGATATGAGTTGTATCTTTTATTACAGATAAAACCAAAACCAAAGATTCCAATAGTCCATTTTACAAAGGCCACACCTCCATTCATTATCTGTCTAAAACTGGTGAGTATCGGTATTAATAAACTGTTATCACAGAGATCAGTCTCGCTTTTTTGTAATTTTGATTATGCAAATGTTGAAATTAAAATGGCAATACTTAACAAGTTAGGCTTATATTCAAAGTCAATGAACCATGACTGAGGTACATGGCTAAACCATCTCCATGTAAATGAGATGCGCCAATGCTAATACAACTGCATACCAAATATTATTGACTTATTACAAGTTGTTCCCTTTAAACAAACCTAAACACAAACATTAACTTGTAAACTATGTAAAAGTTTCAAAGTCAATGAACCATGAAGAGGGGGTGGAGCTATGTAATCTCCATGGAAACGATACTTACAATTGCCAATTAATGTGCATACCAAATACCATTGACTTAACATTAGCAGTTCATCTTAAACTGATCTTATCACAAACTAATACATGTAAACTAAGCAAAAGTTGCAAAGTCAATAGACCATGACTAAGGGGGCTGAGCCAAATAATCTCCATGGAAATGAGATATGCCAATGCTTATACAACTGCATACCAAATATCATTCACCTACCACTAATGGTTCCCCATAAACGGACATAATCACAAACTAATACATGTAAAATAAGCAAAAGTTTCAAAGTCAATAGACCATGACTGAGGGGGCGGAGCCAAATAATCTCCATGGAAATGAGATGTGCCAATGCTAATACAACTGTATACCAAATATGATTGACCTACAACTTGTGGTTCACCACAAACTAGACCTAATCACAAACTAATACATTGTTGACGCCGCCGACGCTGGAAACAGCATACCTATGTCTCGCATTTTGACTCCATCAAGGCAAGACAAAAATTTGATTATTGTAGATTTTTTAAGATCCTGCAAATTACAAGTCCACCCTGAACACCATTTGGATTAAGTAATCATGCTGTAATTATCAGTATCAGGCAGATGGGTAGGCTGGTATTTTAGACTGATGTTTATATATATGCAGAGTTCCAATTCCCTCAATCATGCTCCAGTGACAGAATTTTTATACGACCGCAAAAAATTTTTTGTGGTCGTATATTGGTATGACGTTGGCGTCGTCGTCGTCCGGCGTAGTCGTCGTCCGGCGTCGTCCGAAGACACATTGGTTTTCGCACTCTAACTTTAGTTTAAGTGAATGGATCTTTATGAAATTATACCACAAGGTTCAATACCACAAAAGGAAGGTTGGGATTGATTTTGGGGGTTATGGTAATAACAGTAAAGGAATTAGGGACAAAAAGGGGCCAAAAATAAGCATTTTTGTAACTTCCAGACATAACTTGTGTGTTAGTGTATGGATCTCTCTGACATTGTACCACAAGGTTCCATATCACTAAAGAAATGCTGGGATTGATTTTGGGGGTAATTGCCTCCAAATTTTAGGAATTAGGGGCCAAAAAAGGGGCAAAAAACAAGCATTTTTCTAGTTTCATGACAATAACTTGTGTGTAAGTGTATGGATCTTTCTGAAATTGTACTACAAGGTTCCATATCACAAAGGGAAAGCTGGGTTTGAGTTTGGGGGTAATTGCCCTAAACGTTTAGGAATTTGGGGCCAAAAAGGGGCCAAAAAACACATTTTTTTCTAGTTTCCAGACAATAACTTGTGTTCAAGTGTATGGATCTCTCTGAAATTGTACTGCAAGGTACCATACCACAAAGGGAAGGCTGGGATTGAGTTTGGGGGTGATGAATCATAATGGGGGTTCAAAAAATTTTGGGGGGGGATTTATTTTTTTTTCCTTTTTTTTCTTTTTTTCCTTTTTTGTTTCTTTTAAAATTTTCCATTTTAAGTTGGTTATTTCTGATTTATATTTAAAATCAAATAATAATGATATGGTAGGAGATACACACCAAACAGGATGTGTAAATTATTATATAATAAGTATTGTGCAATAGCAAGAAATTTTCAATTGCACAGTATTGCACAATAGCAAGAAATCTTCAATTGCACAGTATTGCGCAATAGCAAGAAATCTTCAATTGCACAGTATTGCGCAATAGCAAGAAATATCCAATAGCACAATATTGCGCAATAGCAAGAAATTGTCAATTGTACAGTATTGCGCAATAGCAAGAAATATTTAATAGCACAGGATTGTGCAAAAGAAGATACTTCCTATAAATTGCTTATTTCTTGACCAATTTCAATGGGGTTTTATTCTTGATTTCATGGGGTTCTTTAATATGCTGAATCTAACCGTGTATTTAATTTTTGGATTTTGGGCCCCGTTTTTAAATTGGTCCACATTGAGGTCCAAAGGGTCCAAAATTAAACTTTGTTTGATTTCATCAAAAATTGAATTATTGGGGTTCTTTGATATGCCGAATCTAACTGTGTATTTAGATTCTTAAATTTTGGTTCCGTTTTCAAATTGGTCTACATTAAGGTCCAAAGGGTCCAAAATTAAACTTAGTTTGATTTTAACAAAAATTGAATTCTTAGGGTTCTTTGATATGCTGAATCTAAACATGTATTTAGATTTTTGATTATGGGCCCAGTTTTCAAGTTGGTCCAAATCGGGGTCCAAAATTAAACTTTGTTTGATTTCAACAAAAATTGAATATATGGGGTTCTTTGATATGCTGAATCTAACCATGTATTTAGATTTTTGATTTTTGGGCCCCGTTATCAACTTTGTCCACATTGAGGTCAAAAGGGTCCAAAATTAAACTTTGTTTGATTTCATCAAAAATTGAATTATTGGGGTTCTTTGATATGCCGAATCTAACCGTGTATTTAGAATCTTAATTTTTGGTTCCGTTTTCAAATTGGTCTACATTAAGGTCCAAAGGGTCCAAAATTAAACTTAGTTTGATTTTAACAAAAATTGAATTCTTAGGGTTCTTTGATATGCTGAATCTAAACATGTATTTAGATTTTTGATTATGGGCCCAGTTTTCAAGTTGGTCCAAATCGGGGTCCAAAATTAAACTTTGTTTGATTTCAACAAAAATTGAATATATCGGGTTCTTTGATATGCTGAATCTAACCATGTATTTAGATTTTTGATTTTTGGGCCCCGTTATCAACTTTGTCCACATTGAGGTCAAAAGGGTCCAAAATTAAACTTTGTTTGATTTCATCAAAAATATGAATTCTTGGGGTTCTTTGATATGCTGAATCTAACCATGTATTTAGATTTTGGATATTGGACCATAATAGGTGAATGTCCAATTTAAAATTTTTAAGTTCTTAGACCACATTCAATCTGTGTTAGAAACCTATGCTGTGTCAAATATTTAATCACAATCCAAATCCAAAGCTGTATCAAGCTTGAATGTTGTGTCCATACTTCCCCCAACTGTTCAGGGTTCGACCTCTGCGGTCGTATCAAGCTGCGCCCTGCGGAGCATTTTATTAAATCGTTGAGATACTGAAAGTTTTTCTATTGGGTACATGTTTTAACATTTAAATCTTTGTTAGTTTCTATACTGTAAAATGTGTTCTGAGTAGGATAACCATTGATATTTTTTTTAGATGTTCATTGTTTAGTTTTTATTATCCTACGAGTTCTAGCAGTACATTTTTGTACTTTCTTTGTGTTTGGGGTGGTGGTGGAGCCATTTCCTATATACAAGGTGATAGGATGTGCTACTGGAATAGGTCACATTTTCCATCTTGAAAATATGTGAATAGGTAGGGAAATCTATCAGAAATATATGATAAGGTCAATAAATTTTTATACGACCGCAAAAAAATTTTTGTGGTCGTATATTGGTATGACGTTGGCGTCGTCGTCTTCCGAAGACACATTGGTTTTCGCACTCTAACTTTAGTGAATGGATCTCTATGAAATTTTACCACAAGGTTCAATACCACAAAAGGAAGGTTGGGATTGATTTTGGGGGTTATTGTACCAACAGTTAAGGAATTGGGGACAAAAAGGGGCCAAAAATAAGCATTTTTGTAACTTCCAGACATAACTTGTGTGTTAGAGTATGGATCTCTTTGACATTGTACCACAAGCTTCCATATGACAAAGGGAATGCTGGTATTGATTTTGGGGGTAATTGCCTCAAAATTTTAGGAATTAGGGGCCAAAAAAGGGGCAAAAAACAAGCATTTTTCTAGTTTCATGACACTCACTTGTGTTCAAGTGTATTGATCTCTCTGAAATTGTACTGCAAGGTACCATACCACAAAGGGAAGGCTGGGATTGGTTTTGGGGGTAATTGCCCTAAACGTTTAGGAATTAGGGGCCAAAAAGGGGCAAAAAAACAAGCATTTTTCTAGTTTCAGGACAATAACTTGTGTGTAAGTGTATGGATCTTTATGAAATTGTACAACAAGGTTCCATATCACAAAGGGAAAGCTGGGTTTGAGTTTGGGGGTAATTGCCTTAAACGTTTAGGAATTTGGGGCCAAAAAGGGGCAAAAAAACAAGAACTTTTCTAGTTTCCAGACAATAACTTGTGTTCAAGTGTACGGATCTCTCTGAAATTGTACTGCAAGGCACCATACATTGTAACACAAAGGGAAGGCTGGGATTGAGTTTGGGGGTGATGAATCATAAGGGGGTTCAAAAAATTTGAGAGGGGATTTTTTTCCCCTTTTTTTTCTTTAAAATTTTCCATTTTAAATTGGTTATTTCTGATTTATATATAAAAGCAAATAATAATGATATGGTTTGAATAGGTAAATTAAAATTTTTTAAGTTCTTAGACCACATTCATTCTGTGTCAGAAACCTATGCTGTGTCAAATATTTAATCACAATCCAAATTCAGTGCTGTATCAAGCTTGAATGTTGTGTCCATACTTGTTCATTATTTGTTAAATAAAAAGCCCTGTAATTTTTTCACAGCTGAATGTCTCACCATAAGTAATCATTACATATGGAATCATATTTCTTCTTTGTCTGTCATCTATTTTGGTGTTCCTGGTTGTGTTTTTATCCACAAAGTTCTCCCCTTTGACAATTTGGTATTCCACTTATCCAACACACCACACGAAACTCAACCAATATGGAAAAGGTTACATTTTTACCTACGCAATATATGTAAAGGTACACATTTTTAAAAATCTAAATTATATTTGAAAAGGGTTGGGTAACAGAACCCCAGTGGCACCCCTATCAATTAAGTATTGAAGTTACATTTTTATGTTAAATTTTTTTACAAAATTGTTGCAGGAGTTACCTTCTTTAAGTTATATTTTTGAATTTACAGGATATGACAGATGGAGAGTTTGAGAAGAATTTGGCATCAATGAATCTTACTGAAGGTACTGACTTTTTCTTGTTCTCCTGATGAATGAACATGTCACCAGTGGACAAAACAGTGTATTATTCCCCAATCATCATGGAATCCAGGATCATACAGAGATGATTCTCGTTGTTTCAAATAAGGAAGTGGAAAGTGAGTTGCTAGCCAATGATCCATAAAGTATACAGATTGCAGTTGCAGAAGCTCAAATCATTGTTCAACTGAAAACTTACAACGGGATAGACATTGATCAAAGAGGATACTGAATAAAAGAAATCTCATTTGTTATTAGTAATTTATATTTTTTTTCTATAAAAAAACAGGATCACCAATTTATAAACCCAATACCCTAAGACTATTCTGCTATGCCAGGCAAAGCATGATATTATAAATATACACATGTGAACAATAAGAATGGTTCAGATATCAAATCTTTTTTTAAGTCAAACCTAAACAAAATCCACAAATAAAATATCATTGATCTGTCTTGCATATTTATTGTCAGAATAAATGATCTAAAAACATGCATAAATGAAGCATGGTATTAAGGTCAGTTTCAGACATGTACACTTTACTATAAAATCTTGTTGACTATTTATCTACTGTCAATTCAGACATTTGTGCATCCATTTGTGATCGTTGAACAATGGACACAAAATACCAGATTGATTATCAATATTTCAGTACTGCATACAAATAATGCAATTTAAATTTCAAGTTTTTGTTTATTAGAAACCATTTCAGTCACAATTTTTCGCAATGATAAAAAAACATTGCAAAAAAATGTATAAACAGCAGTCTCATTCTTATAGTAACTGCCAAACTGACCTTATAACTAAATAACTAAAACTTTCCATGTCAGATGGACATGTATACCTTGCAATGATTTTGTAGACCAAATATATTTAACCATTGATTAAAGTACTAATCAGGAACACTTGGTATTGATCAATGAACAGTGAAATTGTGGTCAAGGTCAGTTGAAGTCTGTTAGATGATGTACACTTTAGAATTGTTAGAAAGACCAAATGTAGTTGACCTATTACTTAACAGTATTTGAGAAACTGACCTAGTAACAACAAAAGTGCAATAATATTGACTAATGAACCATGAAAATGAGGTCAAGGTCAGATGAAAACAGCCAGAGAGACATATGCACCTTACAATCATTCCATGCAACAAATACAGTTGAGCTATTGCTTATAATATAAGAAAAACAGACCAAAACACAAAAACCTGACATTGACCAATGAACTGCGAAATGAGGTAATGGTCAAATGAAACCTGGCCGAATTACATGTATTCTGTAAAATCATTCCATACACCAAATAAAGTTGACCTGTTGTTTATAGTAGTTGAATAACAGACCAAAATGCAAAAACTTTACATTGATCAATGAACCATGAAAATAAGGTCAGGGTCAGATGAAACCTTCCAGACTGACGTGTACACCTTGCAATCATTCCTTACACCAAATATAGTTGACCTACGTCTTACAGTATCTGAAAAACAGACCTACTCACGTAACCTTGATCACTGATCCATGAAATGAGGTCGAGGTCAGTTGAACCATGACTGACAGACATGTAGACATTGCAAGGAACACATATACGTAATATAGTTATCTTATTACTCATAATGAGAGAAAAATTCATGACAAAAAAACTAAACCTTTTTTTTCACAAGCAGTCGCTGAACCATGAAAATGAGGTCAAGGACAAAGGATATATGACAGATGGAAACTTTGTAACATAAGGCATCTGTATACAAAGTATGAAGACTCCAGGTCTTCTACCATCTGAAATATGAAACATAAAGCTTACTACAAATAGTTTACGGTTACGCCGCCCCCACAGGATTGTAATCCCTATATTTCGCAGGCGAGACAAAAACTATGTTAATAAATGAACAATGAAATGCAGGTCCAGGATGGTTGAACCCTACAAGAAAGATATGTATACCATACAATGTTTCTATAGACCAAAGATATTAACAACTACTGTATGTAAATTGACCTTATAAAACAAACATTGTATCAATCCAGTATGAGAAATATGTCCAGGTCAGATGAATCTTGAAAGGACAGTCACAGCTAAAATGATTATAATGACCAAAAACAGATATTTTATTACTTGCAGTACTCATTAAATGATGACATTTCAGTCAACCAATGAGCCATGACAATGAGGTCATTGTCAGTTTAAGACAAACATGTATGCCTTGAATGATTCAATATACAAAATGTAGTAAACTTATCAGAAGATAGTAATCAAGAAACTTTCCTAATCTAAAAAAGTTGATGTTGATATTAGCCATGAAAATAATGTCAAGGTTAGGTGAATCCCCTTGCAAGGCAATTATTGCAAGATTATAAATAAACCAAATAAAAAGATGAGGTCAAAAGAACCTAATCTGATGGACATGTACACTATACAATATGAATAATAGATGTGTGGTACAAGTCAATGAGACAACCCTACAACAAAAAATAACAAAACCCATCTAGCGGGCAATATACAGTCAACAATAGACAAGTGTTTCATTTAAATATAAATGGCTTTCAGTATACAGGATTACGTTTAGATCAGTACTTTGTGTCCATTTGTCTGTTAGATGTTTTTATTGTTCAACGTGCCAATCTGATGGCTCAAGCCATTTTCAACAGATTTTTAGTTTGTTTTTATGTTTTTATACAATTGTCCCAGGTTAGGAGGAGGTGTTGATACTCACAAACATATTTAACCCAGCCATATTCTATATGCTTCTGTCCCAAGTAGTACAGTTGTTGTTGTTGTTGGTTGCAATCTCCTCATATTTGTTTATCCTTAATGGTTTTGTCATATATAAGGCTGTTGTTTTTTTTTTTAATTGTTTCACATTTAGTTATGTCTGGGCATTTTATAGCAACTTTACGGTATGGGTTTTCCTAGTTGTTGAAGGCTGTACATTAGCTATAGTGGCTAAAATCAAACATCATTTGAACTTTTTTTGATAGTTGCCTTATTGGTAATCATACCGAATCTCCTTAATATATATTAAACAAGTTTTGTATGGATTCTGTAAACTAAATATATTCACCATATTTAAGGATAATGTACCCTATTTTGTTTCAATGCTAAACATATGGAAATTTTATAAAATAATCTGCAGCCTTTCCCATAGTTAAAACAAGTATAATAAAGAGCTGTACCATGCTCATGGGGCATGAGACACCTGTCACCCTTTTAGCTTGACTTTATGCTTTAAATGAATTTATATGATCCATCTAGAATTACGGTGAGCACTGCTCAAATAGACACCCCCCAAACAAGTTTATGGCCATGATTTTTAAACAAATAAAACTCTTTAAATGTCCATAATGTGAAATATGGACAGTTTTGGACGATTTTTCTTGAAATGATGTTCTATAACTCCACAATGTAATCAGAAATTTATAAAAAAAACAAAAAGGGGCTTATCTCAATAGATATAAACCAGTCACCAAAGTTTCTTGTAAACTCTCAAAGTGGTTTTGAGTTATTGTCCAAAAACTGGAAAATCCTCCCTTTTTTAATTACAAATAAAGTCCCAATACTCCAAAACTTACAATTAGAAATTTTTGAGAATCAAATTATGTCAATATATATAAACAATTCACCAAAGTGTCATGAAAATTGCTTAAAGCATTTTTGAGTTATAGTCAGATTACTGGAAAATACCCCATTTTGTATGAATAAAATCCCATTACTCGGAAACATAAAATCTAAAATTTTATAAAAATTGAAAGGGAGCTTATGTTAGTTGATATAAATAATTCACCAAAGTATCATGCAAATTTGTGAAAGTTTTTTTGAGTTATTATCTGAAGTATTAACGACAAACGGACGGACAGACATACAGACAACGTTATATCATAATACATCCGTAAACGGACGTATATAAAATGGACTTCTTCAAGTAAACCTTCTTGGGTGCGCTTGACTTTAGTGACTCAGCACAAGGTTTTTGGATAGTTAAGGTTGTTTAGGACTTCTTGTAGACAATAAAGGCTATCACATCATGGACAAACAAGTGAGTAATCTATTTTTTTAACTTTATAACAAAAACTGTTATAAAGTCTAGATTTTTGCAAAAAATCATGGCTCTGTTTGCCACCAAATCATTATTTTCTATTAAATGCAATGACATATTTAACAGTATTGCTTTGAACAACATTTCCCTTTGGAATATGTACAAAATGGCAGGTCACTTTTATTCTGTATTATAAGTGTTTTGATGTTGTAGCATTTTAAATATTTCATAATATACAGGCCTACAGAATGATTCAATAACTTAACTATTACTCAGGAAATGAAAAAATCTATACAGTTTTGCTTGCATACACTGAACTATTAAATTGAGGTAAAGAAAAATGAACATGTCAGACTAAAACTTAGGCATCTACATGTAGATACAATATGTAAACAAGACATGATTGTAACAGGATGCTGTTACGAAGTCTCCCAAACGAAGCTCCCATAATTCGTAATTCCCAGGGTCGCCTGACATTGGGCAAAGTCCAGTGAAAATTGGTTTGGTCCAGTAAAGTTATATGCATTAGTGATGCCTGGGGTCTAACCCTGTATATCATTCAAATCATCTTGGCATGACAAACCAGAATATATATGGTTTAGGGGTGGGGATCTCGACCATTTACAAGATATTAGAACTTTCTCAAATGGCAGGGGGTCGGGATGACCCCTGGGGACTAACCCTGTATATCATTCAAACCATCTTAGCATGACAAACCAGAATATATATGGTTTAGGGGTGGGGATCTTGACCACTTACAAGATATTAGAACTTTCTTAAAAGGCATAGGGTGGGGGTGACCCCTGGGGACTAACCCTGTATTTCATTTGATTTGCTTTATCATGACAAACCAGAATATATATGGCAAAGTCCAGTGAAAATTGGTTTGGTCCAGTAAAGTTATATGCATTAGTGATGCCTGGGGTCTAACCCTGTATATCATTCAAATCATCTTGGCATGACAAACCAGAATATATATGGTTTAGGGGTGGGGATCTCGACCACTTACAAGATATTAGAACTTTCTTAAATGGCAGGGGGTCGGGATGACCCCTGGGGACTAACCCTGTATATCATTCAAACCATCTTAGCATGACAAACAAGAATATATATGGTTTAGGGATGGGGATCTCGACCATTTACAAGATATTAGAACTTTCTCAAATGGCAGGGGGTCAGGATGACCCCTGGGGACTAACCCTGTATATCATTCAAACCATCTTAGCATGACAAACCAG